CGTACTGGTATCAGACTAACAGATTCTGGATGGAGAGAACAACAAGGACAGATTGAGTTATGGGGGTGATTTAAACAACACCACGGAGCCACCGAGGGAGGGGTCAGAATAATATATATCCATTACAGTGATTTGCTGCTAATGCATTGGTTGACTGTGACCGATGCTTAGTGTATCATCAAAATGAAATGAGAATCCATCTGGGTCTAATCAAGCTCCACACACTCAGGCTCATACATAAAAACACACTCATTTCAACCTTGATTAGTGTGATCAGTGTGGGCCTCCCACAGCCTCAGTGGGGGAGGGTGGGGGGGCAGCAGTTATAATCACACATAATGATACTTATAATGAGCCGAGGTAAAAATATATGCGTCACATGATCCTGTTTGTGTGTGTGTGTGTTGTGAGGGATGCAGATGTGTGAAGCGGGGTGACAGTGACAGTGACGGATCGGCTGGTCATGTCTGGGCAGCGGTGATGGATGTCAGTGGGACGGTGATTAGTAAAGCTTTCCAAGGCCTCGATGACAGGGCGTTCTGTGAGCATGCACGTACGTGTGTGTGGATCTGATTTTCACCACTTTAAATGTATGAATGGAGCTGTTAAAGGGAAATGATGTAAATACATTCATTTTGAGACAGAAATCTGGAGGAGATTTGTTTTTCCTGCTTAGACCCTGACAACAACAGCAGGAAACAATCATCTGATGGATGACGATACACTCAAGACACTACAGTACAGCAGGGCTGTCAGAAAATATCCACACACTGAAGTATATCCTGATCTAGGGGGTGGGGGGAATCAATCTAACCCACACACTGAGGGTGTTTTGTGCAATTAATGAATTCCGCGTAACTTTTAATTTTGAACTTCAATGGCACCCGTAGAGACGGAAGCGTCAGTCTCGGTTCGTAATTACGAATAGAGAAAAACGACAGAAGAAAGTCACATTGACGGTTTAGGGGAAATTATGAGGAAAGGAAAGGATTAATTGCACGAAAAGAAAGTTCAGTTTACGGAGGTTTTCTTTAGTTGAACGTTTTAATTTCGATGGCGTTGGATTAGTAATCCGCCGCTGAAACTCCGGTGAGTGTTTCAAAGATGGCCGTCGGCTAACGACCAACGGCTAACGGTGGTTAAATACGAGCTAAAATCCAGTCAGAGTGTTGTGAGTTTGTTCATGTTTATTTTATATTAGTTTGATTAAACCGAAATGGTGTTATGAATGACCATACAGTTATAATGTGTTAATGTGTTATCGATGACAATTGTTTAATTCCATCAGTTTAAATGTTGGGAAATGCATTTATAAATACTAGTAAAACCATCCAGTTCATGGAGAGGTCGTCTCTAAATTACGAGTTATAAAAAATTTAACACTTGATGTAGTATTTGAGTTCAATAAAAGATGATGGTTATTAGTAATTTTATTTCAAATTTCATTTGTATTTTATTTATTGTTCTGCACAATATTCGCAGTTGGTTTTTGTGAACCACGTGATTGACCGCAAGAATTCTTCAATTTGATTGCGAGCCAGACCCCTAGAGGGCGCTGTAGAGATCCCTGCGAGTAGACTGGCCGGCTAGGTCAGGATGTTTCACAGAGGAATCCACTCGAAACACGGAAGAGTTCCAGATAAGAAAGATAAGACATATATACTCGTGTCACAGTATCGCAGTATGTCGTCATATATTATAATATTGCCCCCGTGTCGTTACACACGCCCCAGTGCAGTATTTGCACCACAGTATTTGCAGTACAGTATTTTGTTGGAAAAAGTGTGAGAATGAGTTTATTGATCGGCACATTAATATAATTAAACAACAGTCATTAATCAATGTGTGTGTGTGGAGCTCCTCCAGTAAATATACTGTGTTTAAAGTACTAGTCACTGCCAGCTCTCAGATTCATAAATACAGCAAATATATAAAGTATAAAGTACATATGAGTATTTGTCTTATACCAACAACATCTGCTCTCATTATTCGTTCTACCTTTCAGCACGCTGACCTCAGTTCTCAGGCTCTTGGGCTCGTCATTCAGGTACACGTCACAAATGTAGAGACCACCATTAGTGACGTCAGGAGTGAGTCGAAAAGCGAAGCTCCCGGCCTCTGCGTTGTACGGCGGCCCAGCAAGCTCCAGTATCCCGGGCTGTACTGTGGAGGAAGTAGAATCCCTCCAGCGATCGTACAAGAATATGTGCGTCATGTTACTGTGTTTCTCTGTCTGCTGCCAGTAAAGCAGGACGTAGTCTCCGTTGTCATCTGGGCAGCTCAGGGTTATGGGCGTCAGAGCCTGTGTGGCAGTGGAGATGGGAGTGCCTGCAGAGAGGGGGCCCCGCAGAGCCAGGTTTGAAAATACTTCAGTACAACTGATATTTTTAACAGATTTTAACCAGTTGGTGATGAGTACTGACAAAGAAAGGATTTTGTCTCATAATTGTAGTAAAATCGTATTGTGAACAAAAACATTGATACTCATATCGTACCTTAAATTGAATGTATCGTTACATCCTCGAAGACACTGTGACTAGGTGATATAGGCAGGGATTACCAACTGGTGGGTCCCGGACCGGTGTCGTTCAGTATCAGGGTCACGGTGGGTTCTACTTTTAACGTACTTAATATTATCTTAAATATTATTTTATTTTCTCGGCCCATAATATGGTCCCACCTGAAACCTCGTGGAGGCCCTGGGGTCAGGGGTCGAGGAGTAATCGTCAGTTTAACTTTAACTAAATAATGTGTTCTAAAGTGCTGAGAGAAAGTTATTTTCCTCTCTGCTGAACTGCTGACGCTGGACTTTCTCACAGCCCGTGTTTATGAGTCACTTACTGTGTTTAACGTTGCCGATGGAAACCGTTTTATTAGCTGCAGAGACAAGGGAGGAAACAGTATTAAAAAGAAGGTCATAATAATCATCATCACGATAAATAATGAATCAAAGCAACTGCTCTAATATTCATAGGACGGTGGTTCAGTTCTACAGCGGGTGTTTGTGTTACTGCTCCATAAAAGTTAGTACATCAAACTGTAGCTACAGGAACGCTTCAATAAAGAGCAGCGTCGTGGTTTATGACATCATCGTTCACCTGTGCCATCGGCTGAAACACAACATACTGTAACAGACCTCATCTTAGTCTCATACATTTTCACTTCTTACCAATGTCAACTCTCACTCTGAAGACAGAAGAAGTGCTGTTGTTGTTGTTGTTGTTCCAGGTGGAAACTGTGCAGACGTAGATGCCCCCTTCACTGCTCTGGAGCCGGGGTAGTTTGGCCTCGGTGCTGGATTTTTTGTTTTTCTCACTCTTCATCGTTGTTCCGTGAGGCGTTGACCAGGTGATTTTGGAGACAGCGACGTCAGGCTGAACGCTGGCTGACAGCTGCAGCGTGCTCTGCTGGGTCACCACCGGGGACGGGAGGATCTGGACTGTTGATGAGGACAGACACCAGGAGTTAGTACTGCAGTACTGTAAGCAGGTAGGTAAACAGGTAGGCCCAGTAAGTACAGTGGACTGGACCAGTGGACTGGACCAGTGGACCGGACCAGTAGACTGGACCAGTGGACCGGACCAGTGGAGGTGACCAGAGTAAACACAGACTTCTTACCTCTGAGCACAGATAAAAGAATGATCTTCTCCTTCACTTTTCTCCCTTGCTGCCTCACCAAGCATGAGTAGAGACCCCCGTCCTCCAGCTTGGGATACAGACCCAGAGAGAAGACCCCCGACTCCTGGAAATTGGGGTCGATCAAACCCATCCAGTGTTTGGAGGCCACACCGGAGAACTGCTTCATTCTGTCAGCCGAGAGCAGCAGTTTCCATTGGTCGGCCTCAGATGACTTCAGCATCCAGTTTACGGCCACAGCGCCTCCTACTGTTTTATCAATGCAGACCAGAGTTGCGTAAGAACCCTCTTCAGCCACAACAATGTCATCCCAGACTGACAGAGAGAGCAGAGAAGAAGAAAAGATGAACATGAAATCATCATCTCTCCTTTGTGTCAACCACAGTCGTAAAAACAGTCGACTGTCACTGAATTGTTTCTGTCGATTTTTAAGCAGCGTTGATGTAAAACGACGTGAGATAAAACCCACGTTCCTGAACCTGTAAAAATTCACTTCAAGGCTTCAACTTTCTGAGTGAGTATAAACAGAACGACGTCTTTCTCCCAGCACCAGATGGCCAGACACATAAATGTTATCTGAACATAATACAGACTTCAAATCACCGGGCACGACAATAAGGAGGAAACAACGGCAGAAAACAGGACTGGAGATGTTGACTAAAGGCAACAACAGCTGGAGAAGCCAGCGGAGCGTTGAACCGACCTGTCCTGCTAACATCAGAGGAGTGCACGGCCAGCAGGGAAACAAAGACGGAGGTGAGGAAGACAGTCTCCATCGCAGGTCACAAACCTCCACGTCCTCCACGTCCTCCACGTCCTTCCACAGTGTTCCAGAAGAAGTTGTACTGCAGTAGTACTAACATCAGGATGTGGTTTCAACAACACACAGATAATCAGCNNAATTGCTGTCGCTTTTATTATCGTGTGTGTGTGTGTGTGTGAGTGTGAGAGGCTGATAATGTTCTTCAAACCAACAGTTCAAGATTAAATTCTGAAAAATTAGAAAAAAACACATGATCTTGACATTTTCTCACCAACGACGGGAGTGTGTATTTCTGAGTATATGATACTGTGTGTGTGTGTGTGTGTGTTAGAGAGAGACAGAGAGACAGAATTCTGTGCATAACAAAAGCCAAAGGATTGACAGATGAAATGTGAAGAAGTAAAGATTTTGCCGTGGTGTGCCCTGGGCCACATGTCTTTACGTCCCATCAATGTCTTTAATTAAACTAAAGGTATTATCAGCTCCTCTGAGCACTGTTACAGAGTTATCCATAATTACCATTGGGTGAATGGGGGCGGTGAAGAGAAACAACGAAGCGGTGAAAGACATGGGGGGGGGTAGTTATGTGTGGTGGGTGTGTAATGACAGGGTGAGAGCAGTGAGAGGGGTGAGGAGAAGTTGGAGGTGTTCAGCCAGAATGAGAAAACCCCGTGGAGAGGAGAAGTTGTGATTCAGGCTAACACAGTGTGTGACTTCAAAGAAGCTGGTAGCTGCTGCTACACCCCCCACCCCCCCACCCCCCATCCGTGGGGAAACAATCACCATA